ATATATACATACACATATATAAAACATAAAATCTAAGTGAAATATTCAAATTATAAAATACTGTTTTTATTGTTGTTTTCACTGATTCAGTTTGTGACAGATTTTTTTTTCCTTCTCTTAGCTCCATTCTTCCCCACTGAGCGAACTCACATGAAGACTTGGCAATTATTTTTACACTGGATGCCCTTCCTGACACAACCACAGACCACCGACCTACCACAGCCCTCTGTGTCGAGCAGGGAGCTGCCATCTTGAGTGCTTGGGGCAGCAAATGGTGGTGATTAAGGGTCTTGCACAAGTGCCCAGAGTACGGCAAACAATGGTGGAGGCAGGTGTGGGGGTTTCACCTTTCTCACCAAAATTTTGTTGCAACTGTCCAGGGATTTGAACCTGTGATCTCTCTGTTTCCCTAACCTTTGCACCATCACTTCCGCCTACAAGTGACAGATAGTGTGACTAATATTGATTTACTGATCGTATTATTCAGGAGAACTGGACTCAGGTCTTTGTGTTACGTGACGCTGATGAATCACTCTGGACTTCATATTGACTTTTAACTTGATAACTGGTCAAATGAAGGGACAAATAAGCTGCAGGGGGCTTTTATCACATAAAATGAACATCATTAAGTTAAAACAAACAGGATCTCTTCTTAGTCTCACCTTGATCTTTTCAGGAGACAGCTCCTCGTCTTTAAAAAAGGTGGGGACGTTTGGTTTTCCTGAGTCTTCAGCGTCCAGTTTGTCCTGCTTGTGGTGTTCTGAACTATCTGCACAGTCTGTCATGTTGGCATGAGCTTCTTCAGAAACTGAAAGACATTTTCACTACCTGTTAGCTTCATGTACAGCGAGTGTAATGATTTAGTACTTTATATACAAAGAGTTGCTTGGAGACCTGGAACAGGACGACCATGGACCGAGTTAGCAAGCGCCAGGAGTAGTTGAACACGAGCAAGGTTGAATTTGGTGAGCAGAGTGGAACCATACAATGTATAAACTTGTGGAGCAAAGTCACAGTTCATAAGGTCCTCCAGAGCCTTATCACAAGAACAACAAACACAAAAAGACATCTATTTGTTAACGTTCACAAAAAAACAATTTTATCTATCTGAATCAATTTATCAACAGCTCAAACATTAAAGCTGAAAGAAAAGCAGAGAGATTATTTAATCTCTCTGCTACATTAATGTGAGGGGAGATAATATGGCTGACTAAATGTGACATGCTGAAAATCTAGAAAATAAAATACCTCCAAATTATCCAGAAGAGACAGGTTGTTGTAGAATGTCTTCACAGGCTGTTCAATAACAACAACATCAATTATTAAAATAAAATAAAAACAAATGTTCTGAGCAGTCTAAACAGCGAGTGCCGGGACAAAGATTTTCATAAATCCAACATGATTAATTTGGTTAAATATACCAGAAATCAAAAACAAAAATGTCAATCTGAGAATGTGACATACACAAAACCACTGACCGTGATTCACAAACTTCAGCAACATAAACAGACATTCAGGAAAGCAGAGGCCGACAGCTGAACAGGTAAAACCATGGGTGGAAGTAATGAATTACATTAATTATTGTAATTAAGTAGACTTTTTGGGTACTTGTACTTTCATGAGTATTTCTTTCAAGTGTGTAATTTTACTCATACTTAAGTACAATTTAGACCATGTAATCTATTTCAGTACTTTTAAAATCAGAAGTCGCTACTGAGTACGGCCACAATTTGAATTAATATTCAAACCGTTCATCTGCATCTTTGAAGCCAATAAGGCTCTCAGATCGTGATCGCACCAATTACCTATGACGTAAGCAAAGGACAACCCTGACTCTACTCTAGTAGAGTCATTTAGAGTCTATTCATCACAGCCAAACGAAGCCGTATAGACTCTGTTAACTTCGAAAACTAGCTCCTGCTGACACTGAACAGAAGGTTCAGAAAGTGAAGTGTGACAGACACTTACCTGGCTGTTGTTCAGTGTATTTGGAAAAGTTTAAACTGTTCTATGCTGGTTAAAAACACTTTTGTCTTTCTTTTAACAAGCAAAATTCCTGCTTTATCTACATTTGTTTACAAAAGAAATGGCCTTAGTGTAATTTTTCTATACTTTATTGTTCGTCAAAGAATGTAGCTATTATATACAGTAAATAGAAGCGAATGCCTTCTATTGACAACACAATAAAACATCAATTGGTTAAAAAGTAATTAATACTCTGAGTAGTTCTTGACAAGAGTACTTTGTACTTTTATTTAAGTATTTTTTAACACCAGTACTTTTTTGTAATTGAGTACAATTTAAGCAGCGTAACAGTACTTGTACTTGAGTACAAATTTTCAGTACTCTTTCCACCTCTGGGTAAAACTACCTGTGGATTTGTATTAACCATGTGGAGTCCATAAGGCAGAATGACACGTGTTCCCTGAGTGAGCTGAACTGCTTCAGTCACAGCTTCAGTGAACAAACACAGTTCAGTCAGAGTTCGGACCTGCAGGAAACAACCACATCATTAAAACTCTTTACTATAAAGAAAAAAAAAGTCCCGACTTGTTCGTACATCAGTGAACTGACCTTAAGAATTCTGCCTTCAATGGTGCGCTGCACATCTCTGCCCACATTCCCAACTAAATGTAAGTAAAGAGCTAGAGAGGGCAGAAGCTGAAAATCAAACACAAACACTGACTCTGTTATCCACCTTATGAATTAAAATATATTTAGTGCAGACAGACAGATGGTTAGTGCGAACCGTGGTGTAGTAACCAGTAGTGAAGAGCCAGTGGCAAATGAAGCTGAGACTCGTTACGGTGGTACCGAAATGAAGCCTGCAAGGCTCAGAGAAAAGGTCGACTCCAGGGAGAAGTTCATGCTCGATGCTGTAGGAGATGTACTGCAGGTCGGACCACGGCAAAGCCACGGAGCAACACAGCACACACTGAAGAGAGTCAGACCAGCATATCAGAACAGAGACAAACAGTCAGGTGTAAAATAAAAACTGCATCACACACTCACGGGACCTGAAACACAAACAGGGAACAAAAGTAAAGCTAGGGGTGGAAAAAATATCAGCATCTTTCTGATGATTTACCTTGAACAAGTGAGCAGACAGCAGACAATTCTTGGTCCTCTGGTTAATATCAGAAGTAAAAATGAACCTGGAAATCCGAGCACATGCCTCAGCAGCAGATCCATTTACAACACACAAAGATAATTTAGTCAAATTAAAACCCACTGTGCTATTTTTGCTGAGAGCACGGCAGCCTGTAAGCATCCCCAAACACCGGCCTGTTTTACAGTTTTCTGTGAAGAGTCGGACACACCGTCCCATTTCTCTGACACCCCTGTGCTCTGGAGGGCACAATCCACAGCTTCACTCCAGCACGAGTGAGCAGCGCTACAGATAAAACACAAAGAGAACGATTATTCTCACAATAACAAGGAAATAATGACTAGCTCAATTTATACCTTTTTTATTACCACTAACTGCAGCACACACATTTATGTGAAAACATGAAACTTGTTTCTAACCGCATGTTTCCTGTGTAGAAGTGAAAGTTTCCCATTTCATGCAGAGTCAGAACTCTGAGGTAGACATGCTTGTTCTCCTGTAGACATTCTGATGAAAGAAGATCTTTAAATACCTAACAGTCTAAAGTTTAAAACTCAAGTCACATAATAATAGTAATATTTATAAAGTGTTGATTCTTACGGATGGACTCGGAGAATGCAGCAGCAACAGTCGGGATGTATTCAGGGCTGATAGGGAGGCCATAGATCGCATCTGGAGCACTAAAGTCCTCCTCATACAGATCATAAGGGAAGCTGTTTGGAGTTCTCATAACAAGAGGACTGAAGGCCACCTGGCTCGCTGCACGAGTGAGACCTCTGCTCTGAGAACGCAGCAGCTGGACTGCAAACCCTAAATATGGGTGTGAGCAGAGTTATCGCTTGTCGTCCATAACTGTGTGTGTGTGTGCATCTCTCGGTCAATCAGCAGAAAACTCACAGGGTTGTGTGTGGGCTAGAAGCTGCACCAATAATTTTTGACTGTGTTGGAATACTTGAAGACATTGTGGAGTTTTCTCCAGGGCTTGATGGTAACATCTCAGCGTGTCGTCCACATCGAGAGGAACACACACAAGCAACATGGAGAGCTGCCTCTCTGAGTATTAGACACACAACATTTATATTTAAAAAAAACAATCCTCTCACATTTGTTCATTCCTTTTGTCTACTGTAACTTTTTGTCTAAATCAAACTCGTTTTTTTAGTTTTTTTTTTTTTTTTGTTCCAAGTTTGCTAAGGTCTGTTTTATTTGAGGAAGAGAGATAAACAGACAGCTTTAAGAGTCAATCTAATATTTATTTTAATCTTTTACTGTTTAAAAATGTAAATGAATAAATAAACAAATATTTAGCTTCACTGTTTTGAAACGGTTCTTGTGTTCTAACCTTTGAGAGAAGCTTCGTCTCCACGAGTGGCGTTTGTTCGTGTTAACTTTTTATGAAGGGACCGTTTCTGTGCCGAGTGAGTGGTCCACCCACTGAGCAGTTGGCAGCTTGCATAACTTCTGTAATTTACCTGGAATATGTCAACGACAACAGTACACACACTTACAGCACAGAGCATAGATACATACTTTGTACATACTGTTATTGTGCTTTTTCTTAAGAGCAGAGTCTGCACAACTCAGTGAAATCAATGCAAGCTTTTAAGATATGAAACAGTTTAGTCACACTGAGTTCTTTTATTTTCTCACTGATCATAATATTTGGAAATGCAAAGACAAAGGAAAAATAGATACATTGATATTTTTTATTTTGCAATCTAAACATCTTTGTGCTTCTATAAAAGTGACTGGCTAATTTTGTGCAGATTAAAAGAATGCATAATCACATTTCTGGACGGAATAAGATCTACCTCTTTGCCAGTGTCTCTCTGAGTCTTGACATGGTGTGGCTGAGGGACTGCAGGTCCTCCTAAAGAACTGATTCTTTCAAGCAACTTCCTCTGTGCATGGACCAGCAGAGGAGTTATGACCAAAGAATAACGTTCCCTGAAATAGACACACAGAAAACCAGGTCATAAAAAGACAAATGTTTTGTATGAATGTCCACCATATTGAGTTACTGATTAAATTATTTTTACATGTGAAATGGTTTCACTGACTTTGTGTTTAACTAATGAAACATCATTTAAACACTGATGAAAATTGACCACCTCTAATCCTCTCTGTGCATTTGAATGTTTGTGTTGAAAATGTGTTTAATTCACCGTGTATATGAGTTGAAGAGTAATGCAAAGTGGGCCAGGTGTTCCCATTGGCCACGGTCGTGAAGCAGCTCCAGAGTGTGCATCACCAGCATGCGAACCCAGCGCAGGTCGACCAGCGTGCCGTCATCCAACGGGGCCGAGAAGTGAAGGCTGGACTCCAGGTCCTCCTCAGTCTGGTCACAGTCATATAAACTCCAAAGCTTCAAAGATCAACAGATGAGGTCAGACACAGGAGTGTGGTTCACTCAGATGATGAGATGCAAAATAGCCAGAGTATCACTGACAGTAAATCAATATGGCACATCATACGCCTGTCAACAAACTATTATACAGCAATGGACCAAACTGTCAGGATTTTGTGGACAGGAACGAACCCAGTAGTGCAGACAGGAC